AAACTAGACTTATGAAAGATGCCTAAGGAGTTTTTTTTACTGTCTGCCCCCCCCCCCTACCTCAGGTCCATTACTGGCAACGCCACATGTTCTGCATCATAGCTATGTAAAAAGAGGGAGTTCAAGGGTATTTACCTATATTTCCCTTATAAAACTGAACTGAACTGGAAAATCGGCATCCCAAGAAGTATAATTATGTAGAAAAGGCGTTTTCTACAGAAGTTACCGTAGTTCGCGTTATTTCAAACAAGTTAAAACCGTGAATACTCAAGACATCAGTAAAACCGGGTAGAGTTTATATCCGCGCGTGCCACTAACCTTGGAATTCTGAGAGCTTCGAAATGTCATTAGCAACTGCACCGTGAGCGGTGGGCGTGATTGACTAAACGAGGTAGTCACTACTCCCTGAAGATGCAAATAAAATTCCCTCGAGTAGGAGTTGCGTAAAGTATATTCAACTTGCTGCAATGCAAAAACTCGGAAGCAATCCCAGCCGGAAGGAAGTACAAAGTTGAAGATCGCCAATGTTACAAAGTGTTTAAAATTTTTGAAATATCGGGGAAAATACGTCTTGCTGCTGAGCTCTCAGAGCAGTCCGATCCGATTGACTGCGAGTCCTTGAGGAAGACTTCCCTGTCTGCATCAGTCAAGTTAAGTCGCCGTTTCATTCGCTCCTCGCGCTTCAAATTCCAGAGGTAAACCAGTCTGGTCCAAAGACCACGACACATAAGGTCGAGGTGAAGTTCAGGGGGGTTATCGCAGAAGGGGGCTTCCCTGGAAAACTTGTACACAGATCTACGGAAAGGAAATTTATGAGGAATAATCGAGTCAGCGATCAGCAAAAAAAATACAGGAGTGTCGGTAACAAATAGATAAACCGTTGTGCTAACTGCGTAGCATAGGCGAAACAGGCTGTCCTAAGACCGGAAGTATATTCATGCTTGTCATCGTTGGCTGACGGAATGAAACTACGGTTTTGGCAGCTGCTTCATTCGTCTTTTCTTCATTTCATCTGTGATAGGAAGTTTCATAAATTTTAGTGAATAAAGTATTACAGCAACAAATGATTGTGGTGAAAGCAGATGCATGGGTGTCAAAGTAGGCTTGCGAAATGAAGCATAAAAAGTGGTGGAACATTTAGTTCCATTGCGGCATCAATTACGACCCCAAGCGGTGGTAACAAGAGCTGATAATTATCGTATGCATGCGGATGTCCGCTACGAACTATTAATACCGCGCAATCTTTGCATGCATAGCCCCAATCTGTGCATGGCTCACACCATTCTACGGTTACCTATGATGAAAGATTCTCGACAAAATCCGCAACGTCATGAAAATAAAATTGTTGTTCCAACGCTCGCAGCTTCTTCCTCTTTCGAGGATGCCGAGATTGGTAGAAGTGCGTTTAAACATCCATGAGGTTCGCTTAGGCATTTGTTGGGGATCACGAGTTTATTGTATGCAACTACAGTCCAGCTGGCTGCAACTGACTAACCTGTTATCACATATTCTATTGAGGCAAATTTTCGCATCCCAGGTACGTGTGTAGATAGAGAAGTAGAAT